GGTTCATTGCATCTTCTTCTCCCTCGTGATGTTACGCGCCGGTCCGGGGTGCCAGCAGCGTGGAGAGGGGAAGAGAAAAGCGCGGGAACGCGCGCGTCGCAGCGTCAGGACGTATTGCGAGCTGGGTCAGCCGGGAATCGATCGAGGCAGAGAGAGGTGGAGGGGAAACAGACGCCGGCGGCTTGGGCTGGTAGGGAGTGTGGGCCGCCGCAGGCCACGCGGGACGAGAGCGCGGCTGGGCCATCTCCGTGGCTAGTAGGCCAGCGCGGGGAAAGGGACAGGCATCCAAGTTAGGCCGCGGCTGGACCGGGCTGATTGTTGGGTCAGCGTGGCTAGTAGTTTTCTCAAGGCTTTGTATCAATTCGATATATTTTCTCAAAAAAAAAAAATCAATTCGATGTATTACAGTTGACAATTTATAATTTGCCATATTTGTAATCTGACAACACTGACATTACTTGAGCGCGACACAAGGTATCATGGATCAGATGCCTTTGCCTTTATCAGCAAATGGAGACCATAAAAAATCGGTTATGCAACTGAATATAGTTGTATGAACCACCTGTTAGCAATAGGAGAGATGGATGGCATTTGCATGAGCTGTTAACAGCGGGCTCTTGGTTTTTATCTAAGCGAATTATCTTTTCCCGGTAGAGCAACTATACTTGTTTTCTCATGTCCACATGCCGCACACCGAATTCTAAAAGTTACAGTGCCTGTCTATTTAGAAAGAACCACTCTCATGTAATCATGTTTGAGGACTGGGCTATATATATCATTGACTGAATGCTGAGGTCTAGTTCTTTTTGAGCTATTATACACGTTTCAGTAACTAAAGGTAAAAAAGTTTCACTCGCTAATCCCCCATCATGATGGACGAATCGGAGTGACGGAGTGAGTCAAAGTTAGTGGGAGACTCAGAGTTAACAAAAGACATGGAGTTCGTCCATAGTCATTTTGTTTGGGGAAAGCTGGGTCCACGTATATGTATATTATAACAAAAGTAGTCACTACTCTCTTATAGAATGTTGTTTGATCATCAATGGACACAAAATCAGGTGTAATCTACCGCTTAGTCTTGATTTTCTTTCTTTTTATTTTTGTTTCTTGAAACTCTGTAACCCAACATTAGTCCAAGTTCAGTAATTTATGTTGTAGGGGCTTCAGCCCCTCCAGAATTCTTAAAAAAGAAACATAATCTTAGGTGGCTAAAGTTTTCTTGTCATGGGCACATGGATGACATTCTAGTCTTTGGATTGATAGTCATCATAGTGTTTGTGTGGTTCTTCTCTTTTGGCGGCAGTTGCTTCTTGTCAAGCAGCAGCCGGAAGTAGTTTTTTCAAGGCCGTGTATCAATATTACACTTGACAATTTGTAATTTCCCATATTCGCAATTATTTGACAACACTGATGTTTACTTTTACTATGTTGCAGAATGAGTGCAACATCTGCAAATCAAGACCATAAAAAATCAATTATGCAACTGACCAAAATTGTATGAACACACTATGACCTGTTAGCAAAAGGAGAGATGGATGCCGTTTGCTTGAGCTGTTAACAGCAGGCTCTTGGTTTTGTCTAAACGAATTATCTTTTCCAGGTAGAGCTACTATACTGTTTTCTCAGTACCTGTCTATTCAGAACGAACCACTCTCATGTAATCATGTTTGAGGACTGGGCTATATATATCATTGACTGACTCCTGAGTCCTAGTTCTTGTTTGTGCTTTTATATACGTGTTTCAGCAGCTAAAGGTAAAAAGAAGTTTCACTCTCTTGTTTGAGCTTTTATATACGCGTTTCAGCAACCAAAGGTAAAAAGAAGTTTCACTCGCTAATCCTCCATCATGATGGACGAATCGGAGTGACCCAAAAGTTAGTGGGAGACTTTAGTGGAGACTGACTGACTCGGAGTTAACAAGAGACATGGAGTCCGTCCATAGTCATTTTGTTTGGGGAAAGCTAGGATGACATATATAAACAAAAGACATGGACTCTATTCGAGACTCTGAGTCCTTTTATTTGGGGAAAGCCAGCAGCACTATATTATTAACCTGTGCAAACTGCAAACCAGCCTCGTTCATCTCCAAGACACTCGCCCAAGTCTACAAGAACAACACCTCCCCATTCATCTCTCTCCCATGGCCATGGATCCTGGCTCAAAGCAAGATGGAGTGGTAAACATGACGATCATCAAGGTGGAAGCACTGGTGGTAGCGGCCGGTGTGCTGCTGCTTCTCCAGCTCGTCTTGGGTTCCTGCAGGCGGCGGTGGCATAACTCTTTCCTCAAATATGGCCTGCAGGTGTGTAATGGAATTATGTTCCATTGTCGTCTACACCTTGGGCACGATGCAGTCCTCCCCAATCAAGAATTCGTCGTATCCCGTGTGGGCTGGGCTGGTTTTCTCATCATGGCTTCAGGGGGCACGACTGTCGTACTCTGGCAATATATGATTTCTATGACAGCTATTACAAGAAGATCATGCAGGTTTTTGGTGAGATTTTCCGGGATATATTTTACGTAATTATGTTCCTCCTGCTATTGAATACAAATCCTGATAACTGGAATACGGTCTTGCACCTAAAGCTGGGTACGAAGAATGCCAGAGCAAGTTCACATTGTGTCATGGCTCTTGTTTTTGTCGTTTTATTGACAAAGGGTTGTGAATCCATTTTATTAGCATCTTTGGGATACCAGCAGGAGGGAAATCGTCTTTTCGACATGATGAAGAAGAGCTGTCGCACACAAGATGCAGAGAGGATGGAGGAAACTGCAAATGATCGTACGAGTGACTCTGACCCTCAGAGCATGAAGGGCTACGAGTATGCAGTATGTATTCGTCAGCATCGATTCATTACCATTGACCAGATTTGGGGTTCTTGTGCCAACTCAGCTGATGGCAAAGCACTAAAAGACCTGTGCCTATCCTTTACGTTCTTCTGGCGGCTCGTGGGACAGCGCTATTTCGGGATATTCTATCCCGACGCCAGCCGTCTTGAAGCCCACAACTTTTTCTTCAAAAAGTTGTTGCCATCAAAAGAACATTCAGAATTATTGAGGCACAGTTAGGTTTTGGCTACGATTTCTTCTTCACGAAGTATCCAGGTACCTTTGTGTGGATGAACAATTTGGAGGGTGCCATTCTTTCAATCAGTGATTTTTCTCAAGATCGTCCTAATTTTAATTGTCGGAGTGTTATCCATAAAAAAATCACTCGTTCTTGATCCACAACATCCTATGATAGAAGTACACCTTTCAGAAGCCGATTACATCATTGCTCTACTAGTTCTCGGTATAGCCCTCATAGTGGAGCTAGTGCAGGCAGTGTTTTATCTAGCTTCAAATTGGGTCCAGGTATCCCTAGCCTGCATGCATGTCAAGAAACATTGGTTTGAACCCAATGCATTTATTTTTGGAAAAATCATTAGTTTTCTTAGAAGGGTTACGATTTCTGGGAAGTTGAGAAATAAGATTGACCAGCACCCATTTATTTCCGGACGGAGACAGCCAGGCTCATTAGAGGTTTCTGATGCAGTAGTGAAGAGCGCTATTGCTAGATTGCTCATATCAACTTATGGAACCAACCTAACTACCAATGGAGAAACATCAGTGAGGCTGCACCACCAAATGTCTAATGAGTATTCTTGGGCACTCAAGGATCTCTCTCATCTGGAAGTCATGTTAATCTGGCACATTGCAACTGAATACTGTGATATTTCTGATGATCCTAGCAACAATGGGACTACCCGAAGTAGTAATCACCGAGGTGCACACTTGTTTGGATATGTGCTACAACTGCTTTGTCCTGACCCCAGAAGAAACAGGACTGCTCGAGATGGTCATCGAGGCGTTGCAGTTCATTTGTCAAGATACTGCGCGTACTTGATTGGATCTATCCCAGAACTGCTTCCATACCACGAGGCGGACATAGCAGAGTTCCTTACCCATATCTGGGCTCTGCTTTCCCATGCTGGCATTCTGAACCTTAACAGGGGCAAGGATCATGAGGACCAGGGTAATCCAGGCTCTGGCCCATCAGATGTTGTATGATAGACTCAAGTCAATGGCGGAACATCCTTCACCGCCTCCATTTTTGCCACAAGTTTGTTACTAGTAGTTTGTGATTTTCCATCCATTAGTATTTTTTTTTCCAAAATGGTAGTGCTTTGATCCCATCCCCCAAGTCAATGGCGGAACATCCTTCACCGCCTCCATTTTTGCCACAAGTTTGTTACTAGTAGTTCGTGATTTTCCATCCATTAGTATTTTTTTTCCAAAATGGTAGTGCTTTGATCCCATCCCCCCCCAACCCTGAAGTTGACCTAAAAAAAATGGTAGTGCTCCTATGTTTTCCTTTCTTACGTTTGTTGTATGAATGAAATAAAATGATGGATACTATGTGTCTCCCATGCATGCTATGGGTCTCATTGTGCTTGCAATATGAATTATCTCATATAATTGGTTTACATTTTTGTTTCACGCAGTTTCCTAAAAAAAACACTTTTGTTTCACAACTACTGATGTATGGTCATAAATCATGCTATTATTTTTGGTAGATCTAAAACTTTTAGAAAACCAAACTTTATGTTGAAGTCTCTAAAAAATTTCAGCAAAATTTCGCTCGAGATAATTTCGGGCATAGCCAAAAAAAATAGAATACTGAAATTGAAAACCCTGGTCAGTATTCAGTAGTACTGCTTTCATCGAATAGAGCGCTACATGTCGCTGACCCATACAGGAACTGCTGAACAAGATTAGCCAAGAAGTTGAACAACTGAACCATGCAACACGATCCAGTTTCGGCATGATGGTGACCTAACCGTGGAAGAAATATATACGGACGCAACGTCATCCACCTCGACAGCTCGTCGTCTGACCAAACGAAACAAGCATCTTGAGATGGCTCGGAAGGGCAACAACCAATGTCAAGTGATGGCACGTCCATGACCATTGTCCGAAGACGAACTACTCAAGTTTTTTTTTTCAGGGCCTCCAACAGGCTATAAATCGCTGACCATCTCTCGTCTCTTCTTGCATCGCAATTCACAAGACAACCGGAACTGCACCTGGAAACTGCTGCGCGCCAGTAGCTCTTGACACTTGAGCAAAGGTTCACCAATGGCATCCACCTCGAGCCTCCCAGCAGTGGCCCTCGTCGTGGCGCTCATGCTAGTCCTAGGCAGCGGCGGCACTTGCCACGCGGCTCGCCTGCTCGCCGACATCACGGCACCCGCTGCCGCACCGGCTGCTGTACCGGGCATCCCAGCCCTGCCGAAGCCGACAGTGCCGGCTGTCCCCACCGTGCCCGCGGTTACCATGCCACCGATGACGGCAGTGTCCGCGGTGACGCTGCCACCAATGCCCGCCGTGCCTTCCGTCCCCGCTGTGACCGTGCCAACGGTGCCTGCTGTGCCTGCCACGCCAAACGCCGCCGCGCTGCCACCTGTTCCCGCCGCCGTCGTGCCTGCAGTGCCTAAGTTGACGCTGCCGCCGATGCCGTCGCTGCCTTCCATCCCCACGGTCACGCTGCCGCCGATGCTCTCCTCCATCCCTGGCGTGCCAACAATGTCATCCCTCGCGCCACCTCCAAAGGCCTAAGAGAGCTATTGTCTTGCACCTACTCTGCTTCTGCAGTTGTGTGCTCTGCTCTGCTCCGCTCAGCACACAGGTGCTTTGTTCCGTTGTGCACACCTTTTCCCCATAATATTTTTGTGTAAAGTTTTCCATACTTTATTTGGTCAATTAGTGGCGCGCCACATCGGGTCGTCGCATTCTTAGTGACGCGCCACATCGGCGCTCAGGTGTGGTGCAAAATGAGCCAGGGTCTTCACACCTACCTCGGCGAGTGCGAAGGGTAAGGAAACTAGTCGAGCCAACTAGGATCCGTTTAGGTAGCTGGAATGTAGAGTCCCTTACAGGTAAGTTAAGAGAGTTAGTGAACACAACGGGTAGGAGGTGTGTAAATATCTTATGTGTCCAAGAGACTAAATGAAAGGGGTAGAAGACGAAGGAGGTGGACAATACCGGCTTCAACCTCTAGTACACAGGGACAACTTCAAATAAAAATAGAGTAGGAGTTTTAATTGATAAGAGCCTCAAGTATGGTGTGGTAGAGGTGAGAAGGCAAGCGGATATGATCATCTTAGTTAAACTTATCATTAGTGATATGGTCTTAAACATAATTAGTGCGTATGCCCCCAAAGTAGGCCATGATGAGAGTGCTAAGCGGCTTTTCTAGGAAGACTTAGATCGCTTGGTTAGAGCTGTCCCTAGTAGCGAGAAGCTCTTTATAGAAAGTGATCTTAATGGCCATGTAGGTACATCAAATGCAGGTTTTGAGGCGGTTCATGGGGTTTCGGATATGATAGTAGGAACCAGGAGAGAGAGAAAGTCTTAGACTTCGCCATAGTTTTTATCTGATGATAGCTAACACTTTCTTCTATAAGAGACAGTCTCATTTAGTGACCTTTAGTAGCGATCAGTACTTTAGTCAAATCGACTTTGTCCTTACAAGAAGGAGGGATAAACGAATATGCGTGGACTGTAATGTGATACCTAGAGAATATGTGGTCGCTCAACACAAGCTGGTGGTGGCTAACTTCCGCTTTCTGGTGCAAGCTCATGGGAACAAACAAGTTAGGGTTGCTAAAACGAAGTGGTGGAAATTAGAATGGGAGGCATCAAAGGTCTTTAAGAAAAAGGTAATTGAAGAGGGCCCTTGAAATGATGAAGGCGATGCAAACAGCATGTGGGAGATGATGGCAACATGCGTTCGAAAGGTTGCTTCAGAGGTGCTTGGAGTGACCAAAGGGAGCGGATGCGACTCGAAAGACACTTGGTGGTGGAATGAAGATGTGCAAAAGGATATTAAGGAAAAGAATGAGTGCTATAAGCGCTTGTATCATGATAGGTGTGCAAACAACATAGAGAAGTACAAGGTGGCAAAGATGACTGCAAAACGAGCGGTGAGTGAGTGAGGCAAAGGGGCGGGCCTATGAGGACCTTTACCGACGTTTGAGTACGAAGGAAGTAGAGAAGGATATTTATAGGATAGCTAGGGCTTGCGATAGGAAGACAAGGGACTTCAACCAAGTCAAGTGCATAAAAGGATGAGAGGGAGCAGCTCTTGGTGAAGGAGGATGAGATCAGACATAGATGGCAAGAGTATTTTGATAAATTGTTCAATGGTAAGAATGAGAACACCACCATTCAGCTGGACGACTCGTTTGATGACACTAACAGACGCTTTGTGCAGAGGATTCAAGAATCGGAGGTCAGAGAAGCCTTAAAAAAGATGAAATGGGGCAAAGCGATGGGCCCTGATGGTATCCCAATCAAGGTGTGGAGATGTCTCGGGAATATAGCTATAGTACAGCTAACCAAGATGTTCAACAATATCTTTCGATCGAACAAGATGCCGGAGGAGTGGAGAAAAAACATATTGGTACCAATCTACAAGAACAAGGGAGATATCCAAAGTTGTACTAATAATCGGGGAATTAAGTTGATGAGCCATACTATGAAGTTATGGGAGAGAGTCATCGAGCAGCGCCTGCGAGGAACAACGCAGATATTAACAAACCAATTTGGTTTCATGCCCGAAAGGTCAACTACAGAAGCAATCTTCTTAATAAGACAGGTTATAAAGCGGTTTAGAGAGCAGAAAAATGACCTCCACTTGGTTTTCATTGACTTGGAGAAGGCTTATGACAAGATACTAAGAAATGTTATGTGGTGGTCTTTAGACAAACATAAAATCCCATCAAAGTACGTGACCCTCATCAAGGACATGTACAACAATGTTGTGACTAGTGTTCGAACAAACGATGGTAACATAGATTACTTCCCGATTAAAATTGGACTTCATCAAGGATCAGCCTTAAGCCCGTGTCTCTTTGCCTTGGTAATGGAGATATTGATGCGGACGTTAGTCATAGAATCAAAGCAGGGTGGATCAAGTGGCGACAAGCTTTCTGGCATTCTCTGTGACAAGAGGGTACCACAAAATCTAAAAGGCAAGTTCTATAGAATGACGATTAGATTGGCTATGTTGTATGGAGCAGAATGTTGATCTACAAAGATTCGACATGTTCAACAACTGAGTGTTGCAGAAATACGTATGTTGCGATGGATATGCGGTCACACAAGAATGGAGCGAGTTCGGAACGATGATATACGTGGTCGTCTAGAGGTAACACCAATTGAAGAAAAGCTTGTCCAACATCGGTTGAGGTGGTTTGGCCATGTCCAAAGGAGACCTTCAGAGACTTCAGTGCATTGTGGAGTCCTAAGCCAAGCTAATAATATGAAGAGAGTTAGAGGAAGACCGAAATTGATATGAAAGAAGACAATAAAAAAATATTTGAAAGCTTAGGATATACTCAGATATCTATGTTTGAATAGGAGTACTTGAAAAGCAACTATTGAAATGTCTAAACCATGACTTGGGGCTTTTGGTGGGTTTCAACTCAAGTCTACCCCAACTTGCTTGGGAATGAAAGGCTATGTTGTTGTTGTATTTGGTCAATTATGTATTTATGTATGTATTCATTCATATATGTATGATCTTAATTTCGACTGATGATAGTATGTCTACAATTTTATATTTGATAATTTTCATGGATCACAACATTAGCAGTTTTACATTCTTAACCACAGTAAAATATATGTCACCTTTTTTCTTTCCTTCGGAACATGTACACGGTAAGGAAGCAATGTTTTACTTGTTTTTGCAGAGCTATCAGCGTTCATCTATCTAATCCACCACCTCCATGCTATCTTGGCATGCTGCTGCTACACTAGCTTCTGTTTCCCTGGATGTCTCTGAAGAACCTGAAAATGTCTCCGGACAAGCCTTTCTAGCTTCAAATCTCGCTCTCCTCTCGACAGCCTCTCGTACCCTCTGCGCAAACTCTTCGTCAGAGCCAGTCAGCATGTACCGCAGCTTCATGTTGATCCTGTTCGCCACCAAAGTTTGGTGCCGAGGCTCTATCCTGTCCTCCAGGGAGTAACTGAAGAACCTGGAAACCATCCAGTGGCGGGCATTAAACAATGACAAAAATCAACTAGGCAACCAGTCATTTTAGAAGCAAACATTAGCTCCAAACTCACCGTGGAAACTCAATGAGATCTTTCAGTGGCCGCACCATTACACGCCTCAAGTACTGGTATTTTGGTCTCAGGATATCCACATTGTATCTGAGAAGCGTTGGGAAGTCAGCAATCATCTGGCCGAGCACAAAGTGGTAGATGCCCAGTGACCGGAAGTACTTGACACTAACTTCTAGCTTATGTGCGATACTACAGCCCAAGAGCTGTGGATCCAACGCAATAACCTTTCCAATGTCATCCTGTTTTACTCCACCTTTTGTCAGCAGGAATATAACCTATGATTTACACACATGTGAGACATGGAGTAGCATAAGGAATAAGTAGAAAAAAAGGGCGTACCCAGTGCAGAGAGCTCCCGCTCTGTGCGGGGTCTGGGGAAGGGTGTCAGTGGCAAGCCTTACCCTCGCCTGTGCAATGCGAGGAGACCGCGACTCGAACCCGGGACCTTCCGGTCACAGGCGGTAAGACTCTACCGCTTGCACCAGGCCCGCCCTTCATAAGGAATAAGTAGAAGTTTTTAAAAATTGAAAATAAACACTGAGCCACGGCGAATTTCATCCCTTGTCGTCGGCCACAACACTAACATATCCAAACAAAACACTAGGACAGTTATCTAATTCTACTTCACTGTTGCTAACTTTGGTTGTTCAATTTCAAGTAGTGCACATCATTGCTGCAAGGTTCGTATCAGGTCCACTTGGATAGAATTATGTCCCTTGTTATACACCACAACACCAGCACTTCTAAACAAAGCACTAGGACAGTTGTTGATGTTTAATTCAAGTTAATGCATCATTGATGCAAGATGCATATTAGGTTCAAACATTTTATACCTAACGGCTTCACTGACAAAATGATGCACAAAGTAACTGCTGTGTGTTAGCTCATCATGGTAAACCAATATTAAGAAGTATGTAAGTACCAACACGCTGTGTGGTCAAAGGTTTGGTTATACAAAGCTCCAGTTATATGAAGTTTAGTGCCTTTGATAGAATGTGGCTTTCTAAGACTACTTACTACGGTGCTACCTATACTGTCCCAGCAGCCAAATTACAGAAGTCCCTACATTATGTACACTAACTTCCTATCAAAACTGGTAGTATAAAAAACTGATGCAATAAACTCCGAACAAAATGTGACAATATTTACTGAAACTGAAAGAATAATAATGAGATATGAGAACAAACCACGGGGCGTATTTTCTTGTACAGGCTATATGTTAATACAGGAGGGAACTTCACAAGCACATTGCCGATTGCATCACTCCTCACACCAATATCCATTAGAAATTGTACCTAAAATGTATACGTTTGTATAGCAGACTTCAGTACATCAGAGCAAAATCCCAGTAGAACAGAAATAAGGAAATACTTGGTCCTATTGGAGAATTTAACAAGTTTAACAAATCATGATATTTTAAAGAGCAGCTTAACAAAAT